AAGGAATAACTGTCAGATTTTTTGGTTTCATGACTATGATCAAGCGATTGGCCTGCGTGATAATTTTATGCATAAACGCCTTCGCAAATGCAAATTATCACGCAAGCCAATCGCTTGATCACATCATGAAACCAAAAAATTAGACAGCTATTCCTTAGATATAACCATACCCCACGATAAATTGAAGTCCAGGCTTTTTGACATCATAGACAGCTGTTTTTTCAAAAAAATGGAATTCGTAAATATACTTACCATGTCATTGGTCATTTACAAAATTATTTTGTTAAAAAGCACTCTGATTGTACACACAAGTACTCTGAGTTGATATTAAAATGATGCTTCAGTTTCTGATTGACAATATCTATGTAGTTTTTGGAGATCAGGTCTTCCAACAATCTGTTGGAATTTCGATGGGTACCAATTGCGCCCCCTTATTAGCAGACCTATTTTTGTATTCATATGAAGCAGAATTCGTTACAACAAATTTTTTTATTCGTTATAACGAATTCAACAAATTTGTTACAACAGATTGAATTTGTTATAACGAATTCAAAGAAATTGTTATAACGAATTAAATTCGTTATAACAAATTCGACAATTCGTTATACCGAATTCAAAAATATTTTTGATAGGTCCTAAATGGGCTTCCGTAAATCACTTTATTGGCCATTGTTGAGAAACTTCAATTAAAATCTATGCGGCTAAACTTATTCATTTTACTCATATAAACTAAGATTTCATTATTTTCCTCATTTTTGAGGAAAAAAAGGTTGTTTGTATCGTCTGTCCTCAATGGTGATATAATCAATTCCCTTATCACGCAGAACAATTTTATTAGATAGAGCAGATATTCTTATTATTTATATCTTCAATTCAAAATATCTATGTTTTAAATAATGATCTCTTTGATGGGACTATTTCCATCTTTAAAAAAATTATTGAGATCATTCGTTCTTCAAACAAATAAATTCTCCCGTACAAGATGATCTAAAATGATTTGAATTTCGAATGAATTGATTGCGACCCTCATCCATTCAAGTGATCGTGTTTTGGTGCGCGCAACAATTCAATTATTGCGAGCGATAATTGAATTAATGATTTCTTCGATTAATTAATTATATTGACCATTAATTAAGTTAATGTAAAATTGGTTCAGTATTCGAAGATGACAGTTTTATCTGGGGATAACATTCACGTTTTAGTGATAGTTAAATTCAAGTCTGCATTTTTGCATCATGCAAAATGTAAAAGGTGAAGATAACGAACAGTGATCAATCTCATATATCTAGTAAAGAATACGAATCGTGAAAGGCAAAAAGTACCTTGGAAGAGTAAGTATTCTCTGTCGACCCTTCACACCCGCTTTGAGCCCTCTGTATTGATAGGGTAAATGGGGGTAATCTGTAGTCAAATTGGTGTAAAAACAATGGCCTAATAAGTGATGGGAAGCGTCAGGCATATGACCCAACGGTTGTATTTGCAAACAAGGCAATTACAACTACCATATAATTTGTGAAATACTGACTTGTAAGGAGATAGTCGAAACCCTGTAACATTAACTTACTTATCAGTAGCTTGCATCGATCTGATATTGATCGTATTTAGAACATGCTTCAAATCAAACACCATATGATAGTGGAATATAATTACCTTAATAGGGAAAGTTGACATTAGAAAAGATGAAGTCATTCCGTTTGTCTGTTTGTCGTATTTAGTTGTTAGTTGGCCATAAACGTCTGAAGTCTGTAAATCATTCAAAAATGAAACACATGTGGCAGATTCTGTGTGTCTTTTATATAGAGTTAACTGTGATATATTGAGTTGATATATAAATGAAAATAACCTTTGTAAATTGATAACATCGTCGATATATTGTAGCAATTTGAAAGCAACAGCAAGAGAACTTTTCTTCTTCTTACGTAGAAATTTTCGAATAAATTCTGCTTCATAGAATAAAAACAGGTTGGCTTTAAGGGAGCACAGTTAGTGACCATCGGAATTCCAACAGTTTGTTGACAGAGTACAGAGTTTTTGTCAATGAGGAACACCAGCATCTTTTCATATCAACTTCGAAATACTTGTGTGTATAATCAAAATGATTCTTGTGGAGAGAACTTATATAGGCAGTGCCTGCTGTCCAATCCTTTTATGATTATACATGATAAAATATTGTTTAAATTAATATTTCTTATATTTTACAAGGAGAAACAAACAGATATTTGAGGAACGTGTCGTCAGACCTTAAATGGGTACTCTAAGAGGTCTCCTCCAAAATGACCGCCAAAAATCTCTTTGAATAGTGTATTCTGGCGTGAAAATTTTTTTGTTGAAAGTCAATTTAATGTCAAAAAACCCTCTCTACCGATTGTATAGTTACCGTTGGGAAACTGAATCAGCTGAGTACCGTCCACAATATATAAATTGTTTATCAAACATTACTGAAATGTTATTTTTACATATTTCTATAATGATGCTAATTCTTTTTTTACTCAGTATATATGAACATGTATATGATAAAAAGTTGTTTCGGTAGCAAGACAGCATTTGCCATTTCCTTACTGTTCTTCTTGGGTGACACTCTCCTTTCGGTACATAAAAAAAATACAGAGAAAGAGAAACGGGCATACACAAAAGAAAACAAAAACCAAACAAATAAAAAGCAATGTCAAATATTAAGTAGATCTACTCGTATATATAGGCAATTAAAATATCTAATAAGTATAATAATTAATATTGAAATTGAATCAATTTATTTTTATGCATGTACCAATAGAAATGATTTCAAGCGACAACTCCACAACTCCATTGCTCTTTAAATTTACTGAAAGACAACTTTTGGTCTTTCGTCTTTCAATATTGACAGATTTGTTTCTGGTAGATTGAAAAAAAAATAAGAAGAAGAACAACCTAGGTCTAAAACATCACTGATTCACATCATTTGGACAGAAAAAAATCTCTACTTTGGTATTTTACACATCATTTAACTCAATGAATTCTAATAATTATAGATTTTATTTCATCTAAAGAAAACAAAATGTCATCATCGGGAAATATTATGGTTGAACAGTATAATTATAGAGAGAAATGTTTTTAAGGATGAATGCTGCACCAGTTTTTATTTAATGAATGTGTAAGATATCCACGTTAAAATATCTTTTCTGCATTTAGAAGCCGATATTAATTCTGAATTATTTAATATAAAATAATTTATATGTAAAAATGTTTTATTTGCAAAACAAAATGCTAAATAGAGCTTAAAATCTGCATGCTGTTAATATATGCATAATAAGGATATCTAGTAAAATAAGTCAAGACAAGTCATCGATACTTCTAATTGGAATCGGTTTAATTACTTTCGGGATTGGTCCAAAATTTAGAATAATTTATTTCCATAAAATTCAATTTCTTTTTAAAATATGATTGTCTAAAAAAAATTCTTTGTTGTGACTTGTTTCTCAAGTAAGGATTGTCTCCATTGGTTTAAAAATATTCTTGGACCAAATAATGCATTTTTTTTTCATAAATAAATTCTTAATTTTAAAATAATAAAAAGCTAATATCGGTCTTTCAATGCTGAAATCTTAGTTTAAAAGGGATTTCTACTCTTAAAGATCTATCAATTAAAATGTTGATATAGCATTCCTTCTTGAAAGCGAAATATGGGACTTGCGGGTTTCGGTTTCCAATGCTTTCTAGTTTTACCACCTCCCGACATTCGGATGTAAATAAAAACAGAGACGAGTAAGTCGAGTTGAGAGAGAGGTAATGTTAAATTCATAATCATTAGTCTAGATTTTTCCTTTTAATCGTTAGGCTTATACATTGAAAGTAAAGTTGGTGAATAGGCTATTTACATTTAGAGTAATATCTGACGTAAGTATAGCATGGCATGGGCCGAACTTGCATGATTTAGCCTAACGGTTATGCTTTTGTAGTTTTGGTCCTTTGGCTTTGGTGATAACATTCATTTATGTCTCTTTAAAGACATAGGCCTATTTACTTCTATATGCAAATTTTGTTATTGTACACAAATTTACAACAAGTAGGACTTGATGGAAATTTGCTACATCATTTAACGTTAGATCCATGCAAGTTCAGTCCCAAGCAAACCTGCAGTACAACCCATATGGTATGTCGTGCATGTGTAAACACTGGAATGTATTCTCTTTAGATGAAATATATGGAGATAACGAACAGTATTCAAGCTCAAAAGTCCATTAAACATTACAAAATAGGTGCAGAGCAAACACAGACCTCCAAAACATCAGAGGTGGGATCAGGTGCCATGGAGGAGTGAGCATCCCCTGCCGACCAGTCACACCCGACATGTGCTCCTTGTCATGATCGGGAAATTTCTGAAAAATCCATTGACAATTCAGTGTGTAGATAATGGCCTGACAATTAGAATGAAAAACGTCAGTCAGCATTTGACTCAATGATAAATTGTATTTGCTGACAAGGTCATTGTATCAACCACAGAACTTACAAAATGATGACTTTAAACAAGACTGCTGATATTCTTGTTTCTTCACCTTGTTTGTCAATAATTTACCTCATTTTAGAAATTGTTCATATGTAGAGCATGCTCTTGTGTAATGAATCAACTGAGAGATATAAAACCCTGTATGCAGGTGATAAGGGTATATTGCTGCATAAGTAAGGGAAGTTGACGATTGAAAAGTTAAAGTCATCATGTTTATCATAAAGCTTGGTTGATAGATTACCATTAATGTCTTTTTCAAGTAAAATATCCGAATATGAAACAGATGTGTCAGACTCTGTAGTATCTTTTATCTCAAGTTCACCGTGATATATTGTATCGACATAAGAATGGAAATAAACATTGTTAATTGACAATACATTGTCGATATAAATGTCGAGTTGAAGGCCACAGCAAGTGTTTTCTTCTTTTCACGTATAAGATTTTGGACAAATTCTGCTTCATTATGAATACAAAAAAAGGTCTGTATATATCAGCTACAGAAACTTAATTTTATAGATACAATCAACTCAAAATGATAGAGGTGTCAGGATTTCTTCCAAGAGGAAATGTCTATTTGGCAGGAGAGACAGTGAAGTGCATTGTAACCATTACAAACCTCTCAAAACAAACACAGTATGTGAACATTCAATTCCTTATTCAATTTTATGCAATACCAATTTACTGTTAGAAATATGTGATATTAAATTATGTTAAAATAATCTTTTTAAGGAACAATATAGATTGCCTAGCATGGGCCAGTGTACAGATAATTTGTCAGTGCTCAGTAAGTGACACAAGAATAAATCTACCCTGCACTAGGAAACTGTCATCAGATGAAATATCGCCATCCTCATCAGACACATCATTTGTTCCCAACAAAGGTACATGAATAATAGTACATTATTACAAATGTATTTTCATTATAAAGTCTGTAGAATAATCCAACTGTGTCTTGGGACAGATCCTCACCACATTCCCTAGGACATTATCATTTTAACGATTAGAACATTCTATCTATAAAGTCTGTTGAAAGGTTCAGCATTCAACACCATAACAATTGTACAGGGAGGTTAAAGATCAAAGTAATGATTTATTTTGAAATCGCAAACAAACACTGAAGGCCGTATGCAATGTCAGAAACAAAAATCAAAATTCACACTCATGTTGAACAGTAACCGCTGCTTTCTCAATTTAGCTTAAGAAGTGCATAATGTAACATTTTAACATGTATCTTATGAATTATACATCTAGAATTAGATGTTTTATATTCACCATATTATTTGCTGTATTCAGGTGAATGGAAATAGTTTATTATTAGAGGCATATTATTCAATCTATATGTATCTTGTTTTATTCAATGTTTTATCTTAGCCACTATGTACTATGGAACTACATCTGACTGGATAGCATGTAAATATTCCCTTTTATGAATAGAAAATGTAAGTTATGAAAATGTACATTTTTTTAGGAGAGCAAGGAATGACTGTACTGTCTACAAAACCCAGGATTTTGTTTTGTGATTTAAAGCTAAGGCCAGGAGACAGCAAATCATGTGAGCAACAAATGCAGTATAAATAACTGCACTTATTGTTTGTTTTTCTGGTTGTTACTTTCATTTTGTTGTCTCTCTTTCTATATTTTATAGCTTACATGTACCTTGACAAAGTCTAGATGAGCTCATGCTATACCCAGATAGCTGGTGTCCAAGGTTAAATTTGTAGGAGCAGGTCTATTTACCTAGAGTAACTATAATTGTAACATGGACTTAACTTGCATAGATGATGTATCAAGTGATCCAAACTACAAAACTTGCTTGGATGTTGCATCCTACCAATATTTTCTGGAACAGGATGAGTGACCATCTAAGTTTTTGAGCAGATTCATTCTCAAATAACAGACCAAAATACCTGGACCAAATTTGGTGTCAAAGAATCCGCACTACAAGATGTGCTTCAGATGCTGTATCTGATATTTTCTGGATGAGTGAACAGTTATAGGGATTTTTTAGCAGTTCCTTCTGAAATAACTGTAAGTTGGCCTACCTTAACCAAACTTGCATGGATGATACATGTAGGAATGCACATGACCAGACTTGCTTTGAACAGGTTGAAGTGTTTTGAGCATGCAGGTCTATTTTCATACAACTACATGTAACTTTTTATAGATAATACCTTTATTGGGTAAATCAGTTGAACTATTCCTATGGCTTCCTGTCCATAGTTGTGGTTTGTGTGTCTTGTGTCATTTGTGAACTTTCAAACATTTTCAGAGTCTTCTCAGAATTGGCTGAACCAATGTACACAGTATTATCTATATAGCAAAAATTGTAAATCTCAAGGTCCCAGTATAGATTACTGCGCAGTAGAACATTTCAGGAACTGTAACTGTACCATGTTTTATTTTTTACGATAATAAAATTCTTAACATCTTCTTTTATCAAAATCCGTACACATAAATATTTTTTATAATATATTTTAAGATGACAATCCACTGAATGTTTTAACTTGTATTGTAAATGTGTGTCAATTTTTTCCAGTAAAATTAAGTCTAGGAAGGCTCCAAGTTTAACAAATCAGTGAAAACTTACATTGTATATTCTATTTCAGTCGCATTTGAAGACGTTATTCCTGCAGATGCTCCACCCTCATACAAAGGACAGGCTATAAAGTATTCATATAAACTGATCATTGGAGCTCAGAAGTTAGATCATCCCACTAAATTACTAAGGTTGCCATTCAGAGTCCTTGTTCTACATGGTAAACAATCATTTTACTGATGCTTTGATGTATGCAAATGAGCAAAATTTGTGTGACTGTTCTCCAGCAACTAAGAAGTAAAGTTTTAAGTATCTTTCTGTATAAGAACAGGATCATTTTCCTTGAATATCTTTTACAGGTCTTATTAACCAATGAAAATAAGAGAGGTTAGGCACATGACCAGTCTAACTTCCCTCTTTTGTTAATCCCTGAACTTTATAAGATAGAATAGTGACCTTTCATTACTGATTTACAAGTTGTATGTAAGTGTAAGAAGAATTTGAAAGTTTCATATTAATGGAATGTTGTATTTTTTAAAACAAGGCACGATTTCATTTGATATTACTGTTAAGTACATTCTATTTGGAAATAGACATGTAAGTTATTTTAGTCCACATATCAACATAACATTATCAGAAATTATTCAAATAGTTATGTTTATTTTCTCTTAGAAAGTTTCAGAGATTAACCAAGGGGAGAAGTTAAAATGGTCATGTGCGTAACCTCTCTATATTCATTGGTTTATAAGATCTCAACTTACAACAAGTCAATATTGAGAAGTAATGTGGAATTTGTTTTCAGGAATGAACGACATCAGTGTATACACAGACGGGGAGGAAGTACAGCCCAGTAATCCATTTCTAAAACAGGAGCAGAGCGAGAACAACCTGTTAGACATAGCCATGCAGGTTCTAGCCACCATCACTGCCAGGAAAGCACCTCGTTAGTCTTATTTCTCATGTTCAGCAACATTGGAAAATTGATACGCAATCAATACCATAAACATGAAACTATTATTCATGTCAACTTTCATTTGTAATTCATTAATCCAAAATCTATCTGCTCCCATTAATTTTAAACACAGAAGAAACACTCTACATGTATAGAAATACACAATTTAAAAAATCATGATTTGCGGCAAGTAAAAGAAAGTTGTGATGTTTCTTGCATACCAATAAAAGTTGGTTTACAGCATTTCATAAGACAAACAAGATGTGTTTGTGAAACACTGATGCCCCCGTATGGCAGCTTATGGCATAGGTTAAAGTTTCTCAAATGCAAGTAAAATTCCAGGCCATAAGATAAAAAATGTTGATACCCAAAGAAAGGTCTTGTATTGAGGAATATACCTGTGAAATTTGAAAGCCCTAGCTGCATCTGTTCAAAAGTTATGGCGAAGGTTAAAGTTTTTTAAAAGTAAGTAGAACGTCAAGGTCAAAGTGGTTGGTATCCAAAGGAAGGTCTTGTCACAAGGCTTACATATGTGAAGTCTGAAAGCCCTAGCTCCAACCATTCAAAAGTTATGGTCAAGGTTAAAGTTTTTCAAAAGTAGGTCAAACTCCTACATCAAGGTCAAAGGGTCAGAGAGGTTGATATCCAGAGGAAGGTATAGTCACAAGGAATACACATGTGAAGTTTGAAACCCCAAGCACCAACTGTTCAAAAGTTATGGCCAAATTAAAGTTTTTCAAAAGTAGGTCAAAATCCAAGGTCAAGGTCAAAAGGTCAAAGTTGTTGGTATCCAAAGGAAGGCCTTGTCACAAAGAATACACATGTGAAGTTTGAAACCCCAAGCACCAACTGTTCAGAAGTTATGGCCAAGGTTAAAGTCTCATAAAATTTTGGAGAAGTGGGTCAAACTCCAAGGTCAAAAGGTCAAATATGATGGTACCCAAAGAAAGGTCTTGTCACAAGGAATACACATGTGAAATATGAAAGTGCTCCAACCAGCCAAAAGTTTATATGGGCAGGGTTAAAGCTGACAACAGACAGACAGACAGACAGGACAAAAACAATATACCCCCGGGATCTTTCGATCCGGGGGCATAAAAAAGTTCTCTTTTTCTTATTGCTTTCCTTAAGTCTCTTAGATGACCTGTTGATTATCTGTTGATGATTATTTTTACGTACATTAGCTTTATTTTGGATTGACTTTGATTCTTTTTTATGCCCCAGGATCGAAAGATCCCGGTTTTGTCCTGTGTGTCTGTTTGTTTGTCTATCTGTTGTCAACTTAAACCTAGCCCATAACTATTGAGCCGTCAAGGGTAAGGCTTTAATATTTGACATGAGTGTTCATTATGACAAAACCTTTCCATTGGTACAGAAATTTTTGATCATGTGACCTCAACTGTGACCTACATTTGAAAAACTTTTACATTGGCCATAACTATTGCACTGTAGTCTACGTCCCACTCCAGAATTGTGTTATTATCAATGGCATAGTGTTTCACAAACACATCTTGTTTTGAAATAGTTATGCACCATACCTGCAAGTTTTTGAGAAAATTTTTTAAGATACCTTTGGGCTCATTGTTACTAAATGTACTATACCTCAAAATATGGTAGTCAGTTTTCTTTAAGCATATTTATTATGATTATTTATTTCAGACTTCTACAACATTACAAATGCCAAAGGAAAAGTGGCAAAGTTCATATTGTTTAAGCAAGCATATAAACTGGGAGAGGATATAATTGGTGTGTTTGATTTCTCAGAAGGCACCGTTCCCTGTGTTCAGGTATCTACATGTTTACATTTATTTCATCACTTTTCAAAATACAGTTTATTGTATGAAATGTGACAAACAAGCACCCACTTCTCAATATAGTACATGTATTGGCAACATGATTAAGGCAAACAGCTCTGTTAAATGTACCCTTTACAAATGAAGTTTAAATAAGCATTTTTTTTCTGTCAAGACGTAATCTATGAAACTACTAATTAATTTTCAAACTTTGTAGAAATAATAAAAACCATTTAAGAATGTGCCCCTGATGTTTTCAGATTGATTTGTCAAAATATGAAAAAGTGGTGGATTTTTAATTAGGTTTTATTAATACCTGGTACTTGTTTATGTCCCACTTGAAAAGTGGGATGAAACTAAGGTTTACTAGATGTTGATGCACTTTAAACATGTACATAATTTGATTTCTTTTGTCTTTTCCACAAAAAAATCAGGAAAGCATTTCAAGGTTATTAAATGGTCTTCTTGTCATCCACAGGAACATGCCACTCATGAAAATTCATTGATATTTCTCCATCTTTTATTTTGCATGTCAGTTTTCTGTGACATTACAAAGTGAGGAGCAGATTGCCGAAGAATGTCGCCGTAAAGTTGGCCATGGCTCATCTTATACCTCATATGTTAAACATCAAGATATGTGTCTACACACTCAAAAGACTCACATTAATATCCCCATCCCACTCTCCGCAACTCCGGGATTTATGACAGACATAGGTAATTGTCCATTTTGTTGTATTGGAAAGCTGATTCTTTGTGAGTAGATGAAATGCACTCACTTGAAATTACATTGTATTAATATGTCTTTTTGCATATACAGTAAAACACACTTATAGTGAAGTGTCAGGGATGAGCAATTGTTATTTCTTATAAATGTTATATTAATTATTTCCATTTTATTCACAATGAGTTTGAAAACCATGGGGGATGAAAACCAGTGAATTCATTTTACGTGTGTAAACCACCATGTTTTACTGTATTCCAAAAGATATTGATTACCTTTAGGTTGCAGGAATTAAAATGTTTCATAACTAGACATGGGAGTTACTCAAAGCAACATCTCTATTTGTAAAATATATTTCAAATAAAAATACATCATTTTAAAAAAAAATAAATTGCATTCATGACTGTATGTTTCTGAATATGAAAATATTTTACAGGCATTCACCAAATATCTAAATATATAATTGTAGTTTGTCTGAGGTGGCGACTGCATTTTGAGTTTGTGACATCATGTGACCCAATTCCGGAACTTGAAAGACCTGAAAGGCCGGACATGAGTGCAGTGTGGTCTGGACCCTCTAATTTAAATGTGGAGACTATGATTTGGGACCTGCCAGTGAAAATCTATCCAACTAATCCGTTACATGCCTGTAGTTCAACACAGTTGAAAACAAATGTTTCAGTTACACTTTGAGTGGTATTCAGGATAAAACTAAAGCTACTCAATTTGTCTAGTCATTATACAACATTGGTGGAAAACTCGTGGAAATCTCCAGCTTCTCTGGAATGGTACTATATGTAGTAGTTTCATCCAGGTCATCAGTACAAAGAGGAACTTAATTTGAAAATTGTATGCCCTCCAATCCTCTAGGGTCTGAAGGATGTGACCAAAACAATTAAAACAAGAGGCCCATGGGCCACATTGCTCACCTGAGCACATTGGCTAGGAAAAAAGCAAAAATCATTTCAGTATTGAAAAGTTTACATGGGGGGGGGGGGGGGGACTTGAATTTTAAACTACCTGATAATGCTTCCATTACCAATATAACAAATGGCTTTGCTGTTCTTGAGCAGAAGATTTTTTTTCCAATATATTCATTTGTAAAAATGTGATCCCCCATTGTGGCCCCACCCTACCCCCCGGGGCCCTCATTTGAACAAATTTGAATCTACACTACCTGAGGATGCTTCCATATCAATATGACCAATCATGGCTTTTCTGTTCTTGAGAAAAAGATTTTTCCCTATATATTCCTATCTAAAACTTTGATCCCTCATTGTGGCTCCACCCTACACTGGGGGGTCATGATTTGAACAAACTTGAATCTACACTACCTGAGGATGCTTCCTTGTAAATATGACCAATCATGGTTTTGCCATTCTTCTTCAGAAGAGTTTCAAAGTTTTTTCCTATATACTCATATGGAAAACTTTGATCACCCATTGTGGCGACACCCTACCCCCAGGGGTCATGATTTGAACTAACATGAATCTACACTACCTGAGGATGCTTCCATATAAATATGACCAATCATGGCTTTGCTGTTCTTGAGAAGAAGAGTTTTTAAGAGTTTTCCTATGTATTCCTATGTAAAACTTTAATCGCCCATTGTGGCCCCACTCTACCACCGGGGGTCATGATTTGGACAAACTTTAATCTACACTAACTGAGGATGTTTCCACATAAGTTTCATCTTTCCTGGCCCAGTGGTTCTTGAGAAGAAGTTGAAAATGTGTAAAGTTTACAGACAGACAGATAGAAAGACGGACGCTGGACAAAAAGTGATCAAGAAAGCTCACTTGAGCCTTCAGCTCAGATGAGCTAATGAATGTAATATTTAAAAATCTTTTAACTCAAATAAAAATCTAGTACAAGTATAGAATGGTTAGTTAAACATGAGGCTGAAAAAAATGAATTATGCAAGAATTTTTATTGTATAATACAAAAAGTACTTTATTAGTGTTAATGATCAGGTAGACTTGTAAATAATAGATAAATAAAAATGAGACAAAAATAACTTATTAATTGTTCTTCAAAGACCAAGAGAGGCCATTGCACTTGACTGTACTATTTTCAACCCATACATGTATCACCTCTCCCTGAAAAATTGTTAATAGTCTGCATGGTGATAGTGATAAATGGGGGACAGATTAGAACTTAATTTATGAGTTGTTACTGAATGCTAGAATAATTATTTTGTTGATCCTGATCTTCGTATTTCTCTTGCTTTTGGGCAACGAAACTTCATCTATCAGTTTATTTTATACTCTAAGGATCCTCCAAGTTGTTGTTTTATACTCAGGTGACCATTAAAACCCTTGGGTCTCTTGTTTCATCTCACCATTAATTCTTTTTCTCTTTTAACAAGAAAAAAACTGATGTTAACAATTTAAGAAAAAATTATGTGTACTTGAAATTCGTGAGATTATACAATGTATTTCAATTTTTGCTGTTTGAAAATAAGATTTCCATCACCAGTTGTACAATGTATTCATTTCTATACATCTTCTCTAGCCAAGGGTTTCTGATCTACTACTCTCCATGTATCAAACTTTTGAAAAGATATCACAAAACATCAATTTCAAAATTTTACTTCTGGACATATTTTACAGAATTGCATGGTTTTATCAAAGACATGCACTTATAAAGTATCAGATATATAAATTCATAATACACGTTATCAAACAATGCAGTGCTTGCAGAAAAATGATCTAAATTGTATTTATGGTAAATTCATCCTTGCAGAGGCAAGTTACCTTTTATGTTTACATAATGAGATGTATCATCGCTTTTCCTCAAAAACAACATTCTTGTGAGATCAGATTTTTTTAAATATGAAATCAATTACCCTTCATGGAAATGCACATGTTTGAAGTCTAATTCTGAGATTCTGAAGCTATTTCAAGGTAAAGTGACATGGTGTGTAATTTTGCATATTTTAATGATGTATTGTAAAAAAATAATTATATACCCCCACCCCCTACAAAAATTTGCAGTCGTTGACTAGAAGTGTATGTGGAGTGCTTAATTAAAGACTAGTTTTGCATGTATTTATCTGTATTACAGACCATATCACTCGAGGGGGGAAAAAACTCAAATATCACTCAAAAGGGAAATGCCCAAAATATCATCTTGCTTATTTTACATTTGTAATGGTTTAAAGTGCATATTTTCACAGTTTTGATGTCAAAACATTTCAATTTCATATTTTTTCAAACAATTTTCACTCAACATTTTACAACATGTGGTATGTTATAAAAATTAATGACTCTGAAATCAATTAACACGGGGAAAAACTACTGGAAATGATAATTTTTCACTGACACTGTAAATTCATCTAATGATATTAATCTACTTGTATATAAGTAAAAACTCTCAATTAAGAGAAACTGAGAAGAGAATCTTTTAATGTGATAAGTATAAATGCTTTAAGTATATACAAACTTAAAATATACAAAGTCATCTAAATCAACAATTTGAAACAATTGTCATGGGAATAAATTACATAATTGATTCATAAATAAAAAATTGAAATAAAAATCCATGTTAAACATCTACGACCATCTTTTTATGAACATCCATGTTTCCAACAACCTGAAAAAAAAATGAAAATTTTAAACCAATATCAATCTTTATTGCCAATACTTTTGTTTACCCTTATGAATATTTACAAATGTGATTGACCAATCAAATTGGTGCTTAAAAAATCAGAACTTCTCTAATTTGCACAGATTTGTTCATGTAATATTAAAATATCTTACTAATGGCTATGTCTATTAGTCTCTGTGTTTGTTAGATGTGATTGAAGACATATTTTATAGATCAGTAAATAAATACATCTTTAGAGCACACTTTTGATTATTTGTTTAAAATTCACTTCCTGGATTTCCAAATTTACAGTAACTATATTTGGTTTTTTTATGCCCCATCATGAATATGGCTGTGGCATATAGAGTTTTTCATTCCATCTTCCGTCCTTCTGTTGCGTTTCACGTTCAGCTTAGTTCAAAGCTCAGTTTCAAAATTCAAGATATTTTTATCAAACTTCATATGCTGATACATATTGATGAAAGCTATTCAACTGCATCAACGTTTTTTTTTTACTTTGATCTTTCCTTTGACCTCACCTTTCTTAAATTAGTTTTTAGCTCAGTTTTAAAGAAATCATTCAAAATAGTGTAATCAAACTTCATATGCTGATACATACTGAAGTAAGCTATTCAACTGCATCAACGTTTTTTTTTTTACTTTGACCTTTCCTTTGACCTCACCTTTCTTAAATTAGTGTTTAGCTCAGTTTTAAAGAAATCATTCAAAATAGTGTAATCAAACTTCATATGCTGATACATACTGAAGTAAGCTATTCAACTGCATCAACATTTTTTTTTACCTTGACCTTTCCTTTGACCTCACCTTTCTTAAATTAGTGTTTAGCTCAGTTTTAAAGAAACAATTCAAGATATTTTTAACAAACTTCATATGCTGATACCTACTGATGTAAGTTATTCAACTCCATCAACACATTTTTGACCTTGACTTTTCCTTTGACCTTGATCTCACTTTTTTAAAATTTGTGTTTAGCTCAGTTTTAAAGAAACCATTCATGATATTTTTATCAAACTTAATATGCTGATAGGTTTTAGTGAGAGTTTTTCAACTGCATCAACATTTTTTGATCTTGAACTTTCCTGTGACCTTGACCTCTCTTTTCTTAAATTTGCATTTTGCTTAGTTTAAAGAAACCATTTAAGATATTTTTATGTAAGCTTTAATATGCACTTATACACAATTTGGTGAGAATTTATCGTCTATATTTATTTTTTTAAATTTCAATCTCAGTTTTAAAGAAACTATTTAAGATTTTCTCATCAAACTTCACACACTAATAAAAATTTTCATGTTGCATTACTAGTAAACTATAGGCAGGGCATTCATGTCCTATGAACATGTTTCTAGTTTCTCCATAGTTTAGTCATACTTAATTAAACTTGAGTTTTTCCTTAAAATTCAGATGATTTACAAAAATCAATTATCCACTTACAGCACAAAATTCCTCAAAAGAGATTTTTCCATCCCCATCTGTGTCAGCATGTGTGATGGTTTTATCAACTATCTGTTGTAATTGAGTATCCTTCAAATTATTCCCAACCATCATTTTTAATACTTGGAAAAGCTCTCCATTTGATATATAGCCATCCTTGTCCATATCATAGATCTTGAATGCAACTGAAAATAATCAACAAATCAATCATGGACTGTAAAAAGGTAGCTATTATTTCAAGTTTATATATTTGTAAATTCTGCTAATTATAGCACAAATTGTTACTGTTGTTATTAATATTTGGTTTACAAGACCTAAATGTATGTAAATTTTTCTCCACATAAGGTGACCCGTCCCTGGAGCTAAGATTTGAATGAACTTCAGTCTACATTACTAATGATGATAAAACATACTTATGACACTGCAACCCATCTATTCTTCAAGAAAAGACTTTAAAGATTTTTCCCTGTACATTTCTTATGTTAAACCGAGACTTTCTATTATGGCCATATATCCTAGCCATGGGACCGGGATTTCAACAAACTTGAATCTACTAGTTTTGTTTTTTTGGCCCAGTGGTTCTTGAAAGGAAGATTTTCATTTACTTTTTCATTATTTCCCCTTGAAAAGGGGGTATGGTCCTTCATTTGAAGAAACTCACTTTTCACCCAAGGATGCTTTGAGCAAAGTGATTCTGTAGAAACAGATGACAAATGACTTGCAACAGACAGATACAGAACACTTTTTGATCAGGAAATGTCATTTGAACCTTTGGCTTAATTGAACTAATCAGTAAACACAACCTATAGAAGTGCTATATTTTAATCAGCTTGGAAATATTCCCTGTAAGGCAAAGAAATTAAAATGTTTAATTACGGTATAAGACCCTATTTGTCTTAATAATGATACTGCCTTTCATATACTTACATCGCAGTTTAGACAGTTTGTCTCCTCGGACACTAAATTGCGACACACCTTCAATGAACTCTGAAAATGAATGAAATACACCTCTGACAAGTGGTATCAAAACATATCACTTATTGACAATGCGAGGGAGCAACATATTTTATTGGACCAAAAGGTGCTGTAATGTTGCTTGCACCACACATTGGAAAAGTTTATCAAGGAAAACTATTCAGCACAGGGGATTTGCATGTATACATATTTTGGACATAAGATTTAGCTATTTATATCAAAGAAAATCTATTGCAATCTTGAACTGCTGTTTTCCTTTCTGCATTTTAGCAATATCCCTCTTTTAGGGGTTGAGAACTACTGTAAACAAATAAAGCCAGCTGTTTATTCTAATTAGCACCAAACTTTGCATGTACATGCTAAAATTAATTAATATCAATTTTACAGTAAACATGACACTTGAATCCAGAAACATTGAATAGAGTAACTTGGCAAGTAACAATACAATCAAGGAACACTTTCTATATTTGACATTTCTACCTTTAAAGTCCACCTCTCCATTTCCATCAGTATCAAATATATCTATGACTCGTTGCACCAATGGATTTTGCTGAAGTTCTGGTAAAGTCATAAACTCATCTACACTTAAAGAGCCAGAGTTATCCAAATCCAACTTTTTAAATCTCTTTCCCAGTCTTTTGATTTCATCTGCATCAACTGAAATAGACGAAGTCAATAGGATACACTACTCAACTCAGTTACATTTTAGGTCACACAAGTTATCAGGTGACCTATTGCTATCTGTTTTTGTTTGTCATCATCAATAAACTTTAAAACATTTTTAGCAATTTTGGTATAGAGCATCTATGGGCCCCTCTATTGAGCCCTCTACCAAAATCGTGAAATTCATGGCCCCAGGGTCAGGAGTTCTGTACTTTTATCAGACAAATTAGGTGCAAATTGTGAAATTCAATGCCCCCTAGTTCAGTCAGGGATTCTATAGTGTTAGGGCAGGGTTTTAATGATCATATAGCAAAAATGCATTAATTTTTGGAAAATCTTTTTTCCGCTCTTAGGCATCTAGCTGGCAAACCAAGAACATAGCTTAAATGTACCAGATTTGTGAAATTCATGACTATTGGGTCAGGAGATCTGGTGCTAGGACGGGGCTCTGTTGATCAATCAGGGAAATTTTTTACTCTGAGAGAAATTATTCCCCTTTGATTATTCATCTATATTAATAATTTGTCACTGTTAATAATAAATTTGTTTGATCAGTTGAATAAAAGAATGATATGAGAATTTTTAATGTATAATACAAAACCAGAAGTCTCTGTCAAGACTGTAGCCCTACTGGTTTGTACTTATAACAAAGGAAGAGAAAAGTAGCACTTGGACTTGAAACTTTGCAATAGCAATAAAGAAAATAATGAACTTAATTGAGTCTCTTTTTGTGGCAAGTTTGCAATCAGACTAAAACTGTAGGAGGAGTGGCCTTTAAAAAAAATTTACAGAAATTTCTATTTTAGTTACCATGGCAACATCATGCATCAGAATAAAAAAAAAACGATAAAGACAATTACCGAAACTGTAGGAGGAGTAGCGTTTTGAAAGTATTTCACAGAAATTTCTATTTTTAGTAACCAAAGCAGCACCGTTCATCGAAATCAAAAACCAATATCCTAGTGTAGTCCACTTGTGTGCAAAAATATTTTAAAATCAGACCATAACTGTAGGAGGAGTAGTATTTTGAAAGTATTTCACAGAATTTTCTATTTTTATTAACCATGGCAATGCCATTTAACGAAATCAAAAACAGATACACAGAATTATGTATCTTAGTGTAGTCTACTTGTGTGCAAAGTAATATTGAAATCCAACCAAAACTGTAGGAGTAGCGTTTTGAAAAATTGTTTACAGACAGACAGATGACAGAGACCTTATTATCGCATAGCCTATTGCATTGTTAAGATTGGTGATAGTTCAGCTATTGTTTGCAGTGTATACACCGCTTGCAAGATTCACTCATATGAGACATCACTGTGTGTCAAACTAAATATGAGGTCGAACTCGACCTATTTCATGGAGTAACCAAACCCAATTTAAAAAAAACGTATCGAGCCGAAAATCTTGATAGTGAATCAAACATTGAACCGAGCAATCGTATTGAACGGTATCGATATTTCGATGAATTGTTCAGCCCTATGCTAAGCACAAGCAAACTCTGGATTTTCTTTGAAAACAAATGAAAGTGAATACTATCTGTGTTTAATAATACTGGTACAGGAATGACGATGTTCTTCCTACCATGGAGTGTGACTGTGTCTTGTTTTTCATGAGAATGTTGATTGTTGGAACATACATGGCAAATTATGCTAATTTTAGATAACTTTAATTCCCAGTTGTGATTGGCAGCATTGTACTTCAATGCATTACAATGTACTTTTTACACTACATTGTTACACCTTTGCTTCACCATGTTCACTGTGCCTCTAAACTTGACAGCTATAGGTTGTGTGTTATAAAAATGGTACTAAGTCAACAAACTGAAATTGAAATCTTTTCATGCACTTAAAGGCAACATAATACTTACAATTTGAGCATAGCTCCATCGGAAGAGAGTTTTCATTTCCCTGAAAATAAAAATATATTTATCTCTTTAAAATTATCAAAGACATACTAGAAATAAAACCTTTTAAAGTCTTATAAACTGTAAGATATTATAATTTCAAAGAGAATGAATGAGTTTCAAAATAAAGGATAATTAACACAAACTTTTTTTTTAAGAAATCAGTAATAAGTCTAATAGATATGTTCATTGGTTAATTTGAATAATGTTTAATACCAAAGTATAAAATGTAGAAATTTTGTAAGATTTTGTAAAATGTGTGCAAAAATTTGAACAGATTTCTACACCAAAGAATTCTTATGATTTCTTTATATTTTAGGGATTTATTATTTTGTGTCATTTCTAATCAAAATCAGTCAAAAAATACAGTCAAACCTCGTTATCTCGAACTCAATGGGACTGAGAAAAAACTTGAGTTATCTGAGGATTCAAGATATCCAGGATAAAATACTTAAAGAATAAGGGGTTGGGATCTTTTGGGAATGGTACCGTTTATTGGTACCAGTTATAATATAGGGGAAAAAATGCTGGACCTCCAAACCACTTAGACATATCCAAGGTATTCAAGATATCAGTGTTTGAGATACCTAAGTTCAACTGTATATAAAACCCATGCATCAATTTTTTTTGTGTGTTATTTATCCTTCAGGCAACAGGTGAACAGAGAGAGGTCTCCAATATTTTGCCTACTGTTGACTATAGACCTGATTAATTAACCTTTTAATTTTTGTTATCAATGCATAGTTTTAGTCTTCACAAAATCTACACCAACAAAAACAGTAACTAAGATCACAATATAAACTAATCAGGAACAGATGTAAACATTAAGCCATGCGACACACTTTAGAAAATAAAACAGCCAATGGTTTGCCTCATTCCAACATGGAGGGGAGTTGCAAGCATTGCAATATTCGTGTGATACAATTATTATTTACTTTGCCTTGCTGCAAAATATACAGATGAAAAGTGCATACAATGTGTATGTATAAAGGACTGACACACAGACACTATTATCAATACTACTGTAAATATGTCGTATAAAAGCCTCTGACTTAGAAATATGATCTAATTGTGAAAAGATGCAGTTACAACACACTTTGTACACATGTAGCCAGCAGTGCAGCAGCTGAATCCGTTTAAGAGAGCAGAAAATCAAAATCACCGACTTCATTACACGGACTCAGATGTCAGTATGATAAAATATCTTCATTAAACTTTAAGAAAATATAATAAATTTGAGGTATTACCATTTTTACGTAGTATTTTTCACTCGGTGACAATATTCCTCAACAATCGTCAATCAATATTTGTTATTTCGCTACTGGGCATGCGCGTATTTTCACTTTGCATTTCCTTTTCCTATGTGCAATGGCGTCTGGGGTAAGGTGGAATACGTGGGACGATTGCAATCCAACTAATATCTAGCAAATTATAAGTAAAATGAATTAAATCGTCAAAAATACGGACTATGTGTTTTTCTTTTTAGACCCTGTTTACATATCCCGACAACTTCAGAGCCTTTAAGGCTCTAATTGCTGCCAAATATAGCGGAGCAGACGTGAAAGTCTCACCCGGCTTCAAATTCGGGGAAACCAACAAGTCCAAAAGCTTTTTGGAAAAGTTCCCACTGGGAAAGGTACACGTTTATAGAGGGTTATCATTTTTGAAACTTTACACGAAGTGCGAAAAGTGGACATGGATAAGACTCTACTCCCGAAGACAAGTAGATGATTGAACAACACGAATTTCCTCGGTCCTTTTCATCTGGTTGGATACAGTTTTACTATGTCGAGAACATTACAGTCAGAGAATACAATCCCCCCCCCCCCCTTTTATTGCCACATTATAACGAAAAAAATTAAGTTTGTTTCATTTTGACATATATATTTTTCTACATAAGTGGAAATACTTGTTGCCAGATTGTGCACTCGTAACCTGACCGAGTAGTAGCTGTATCATCTCGAAATCCATATGTTAACACATAACCAAAAGGCTGAAGTCAACTCAACCAAGGCTTGTTATGAATTGACTCCTTCATATATCATACGACTTGACTTGTCCCTAATCTCAGCGAGATTTGTCGAGATTAAAATTTTGGACAGATGTCTCTTCCGAATCTCAGAGCAGTGCCAGACAAAGTGACTAGGGAAATCTTGCCCTGACTTCGACCCCTTGTTTCGATCAATGTGGGCTGAAATGAATTCCCTGCCCACTTCAACCTTTTGCTTTGGACATCCTTTTAACTCCTTATCACTATAAAATTTTTGTTTCTTACCTTTTAAAAGTTTTAATCCAACCAGAATCAAGTTGTTGTTTTTTTCATAGCACTGACATATTCGTTCAAACCTATAATGCTGAAGAGTTACAGCAATAGTCTGCTTCAAATACTCCGTACTATGGTTCATTTCTATAGGAAATAATAGTAAAAATTTCTTTTAAAAAAATAGTGCCCACCCACTTGGCCATTATATGGCCATTACATTCATGACCTGTGTTTTATGCATGAAAACTGCAAAAACGTATTTGATTGCAATTACATAGAAAATTACATAGAAAATCTTCTGTCTTTATATGTGAAGCAGAGTACGATTCAAATATTGCCTAGGGTACAACTTGACTTCTCCCCTTAAAACCAAGAATGAAACTCATAACCAGGACCTTGGTTGTGAGTTGATTTTGCTGTTGGTTACACATTGACATGTTTAGTTGAGTTGAATTGGTTACAAGTTGGTCAGGTTAGGAGTTGACTAGGTACCTGCTGAAATAAGTATGACATACTTTGCCCTTGTGTATACTTTTAATTAAATCTGCTGTTTTTAAGTAACTGAATTTGTTTTTAAATTCGTATTTTTTGACTAATTTTATCTATCAGCTGACAGATCAGTTTATCAGTATCACAAACAATTCTGTAAATGCCTACATCCTTAGTGCTAACTAGTAGTTGACAGAAAACAGGTAGTATATATTATTTCGTTAAGTTGACTTATGGCAAAATGGATCAGATCTGTTCTGGCATGATTTTGGAGAAATTCAAAGCAATTGAAGTTGCATTGAAAGCAATCTGATTAAAATCAGCTGTGCATAGAAAGTAACCACCAAATTAATCATAACAAACCTTTTGGAAAAATTCAACACATTTTCTCAAGTTTTTTAATGGTTTCAAATACAGCTTCTGAACACTGAATTGTACATCATATATATGTTTAGATTAGAATTGTCTGCCCTTGTTTACTTTGCTACTTTGCCAACACATGGAATGAATTCCATTCTTAAACTAAGTCTGAGGAACAATTATGTAAAAAATCTTCAGAATGTTAAAAAAAATCCTTTTTCTTCTTCAGAAGAATTAGTACCATGATATATTTGATCTTTTCCTCTCTTTCAGGTTCCAGCTTTTGAATCAGCATCTGGAGATTGCCTGTTTGAAAGTGATGCCATTGCACAATATGGTAATGTAATTGCCACATAAATGCTTTTTCTCTCTATATATCGAAAGTGTTTTTAAGAAAAACAGAAATTCTCTGTGATGGCATTTGGTTTTGTATCAAATTTTTCTGCCTAAAACAAGTAACTTAGTTTCCGTTCCGAATCCTCTGACATGCAAAACATTGAAGCCCTGCTTCTCGAGTCGAATAGATTCACATGTTATTAAACTTTAAAGCTTTGCCAGGTGTATGGTTTGAGTAATTCTTGTCAAAAACTCAAAGCACCCATATTTGTCAGAAAATACACTGTCCTTTTTGATCTGATTCAAAGGGGAAAGAAGTTTTAAAATGTTGCTTTTCAGAGGAAAACTTCAAGAAATCCAGGTTCACCTCTTCTCCAAGATTATTGATAGTCAAACCACAGAAGTATTTTCTCACTATAATTTCCAATTTTTCTTTTAGTATCCAATGCACAGCTGATAGGAGCCAATGCCAGAGATGCAGCCTTTGTGCAACAGTGGATTCATTTTGCCGAGAACGAAATTCTGCCAGCATTATGCACATGGGTTTATCCATGTCTTGGAATCATACAATACAACAAACAGGTACCATAAACATGATGGAGGCTTTCTATGTAGCCAGTCACTATATAGCCTGCTTTCACTGTCCAATATGGTGCATCCTATGCCATGCTTTTGACAGTGTTTTCCCTAAGAACTGGCTACCGGCCAAATTGACCGCTTCAATTAATAAAAATGCCGCTTTGAAATTAAAAAGAATTCAAAATTTAATTGTTGTAAGGTCCACAGAGATTTGTCATAAACTTCAACCCAAAGCCTGTTAAATTGATCTCTAACCCTTTACTTTGAAATAAAGGGAAAACACTTCCACTGAACATTTTCAGCCCCTTTTCTAAAATTGCTGCATTCAAACTTTTTTCTTTTTTTTCTAATTATCTAACACACAAAATGTTTGAAAGATTATAATGAGGAAGGAGCCCTTGTGAAATTCATTATCATCTGATGAAGGGTTCAGGCCCAATTCCTTTAACTATACTGTTTTTTTTAAGGAGGCAAAATGTTTACATGTCTTGAATATAATCAAAATATTGCCTTATAGTTTCACTTTCAAAAACAGGCAAATTATACATGTATTAGAGTACAATGTTTTTGGACATTGATGCATTTCATAGAAGTGTACTTATAATTACCAATTATATTGAAGGAAACAGAGAAAGCTAAAGAACAGATTAAAAAGGCACTTGGATTATTAAATGGATATTTATCAAAACGTACTTTCTTAGTGGGGGAGAGGATTTCACTTGCTGACATTGCCGTTGTTTGTGATCTGCTTCTTCTTTACAAGCATGTAAGTAATCGTCTTCAAATTAGAAGTGTCAAATTTATATCGGCTTTAAGTCAGATTGCAAAACAAAACCAATCAATAGTTCTGACACGTTTATCTGTTTTTTCATCAACAATTCCTGTTTGTTTTGGGGTCACCTGAGTTACTCGGGTGACCTGTTGCTATTTAAATCTCTCATTGTATGATGCTCAGCATGAGTAAACTTTCCAATGTTTTTAATTTATTCAAGAAAAGTACTGACCCAATTATAACCAAAGTTTATACTAAGTATCTTCAATGAAGGAGACAAATTAATGATCTTCATGGTCCCTGTCACCCTTGGGTCTATATTACTAAGGAAACCTGAGGTGTACTGCTCTAATTTCTTTTTAAGTCAGTTACTCGGTGTGAACTTTCCACATTTTTGACTTCTTCAGAACCACTGTGCCACGTAACCAAACTTGCTATTAAAAAAGCATAATTTGGTGGTTGAAATTTAAATTCATTCAAATGAAGAGTCACATCATTTCAAAGAGTGAATAATTAAAAATTTGATTAGGTCATTTTAAAATCTTCTCAAGAATCAGAAAGGTCTGAAATGGTAAATGATGGAAGCATCATTATATATATTAAAGGTTCTAATATGTTCAAACCATGGCCAATAGGACAGGGGTTCCAGTGTTTTGCAAATTAATTTTGGAGGAGAAATCTTCTCAATGAATACAAAGCTGCAAATTATCATGTTTGTGCAAATTTCTTCATGGACATTCTTCGTGTAATGTACATTCAAGTGTATTTCAGTGGTGTCCCTCGGGACCAGAGATGAAGCCTCAAAGAGGTCCAGAGTTCTACATAGCAATGTATAGTAAAAGTATGGGATACAGAACTTGTTACAAGAAAATTTAACTCGGGGGGGGGGGGGGGGGGATTAATACATAGTAACACTCAGATAGCCTACTAAGCACATGAAAAATTTTACATAGTGACATTCAGTGACCTACTGAGCACATGGGCCTCATGTTAACTTTACAGGTGTTGGATCCATCTTTCCGGTCCTCCTTTGTCCATACCAATAGATGGTTCACCACTCTCATCAACCAGCCCCAGTTTTCTGCTGTGATAGGACCTTTCCAGATGTGTACAAAAATGGCTGAATTTGATTGTAAGTATAAATAATTGTAATCTGAATTCTTTAAGGCCAAAGAAAAATTAAATTTTGATTTTCAGGCACCACTGCATTAGGTTTAGTGTAGAGGATTGAAGATTTTCCATGTGAAATTGCCACAGACATTGTCTAAGGGACATAATTACCAAACTATGAAAAAAAGGATTTTTTCATTGAAAAAAGCTTCTCAATTACAACAGTGAAACAATAAGTCATATTAATATAAAACATCAGGCTGAAGTTATTGTCTCCAGATTTGGGAAGGGGCTACAATAGGAGGTAAAAAAAAACAAAAAAAAACTAGATGCTCATGGGCCATAAGGCTCACCTGAGTAACTAAGACCCTGCTGTTCTTCACCAGATTTCCCCCCTTGTAATACTTACTGTGGCCCCACCCTATCCCAGGGTGTCATGATTTAAACAAATTATAATCTACACTACCTCAGGAAGCTTCCACATAAGTTTCAGCTTTTCTGGCCATTGGTTCTTGAGAAAAAGAATTTTAAAGATTTTTCCTATTGTGGCCCCACCCTATTCCCAGGGGTCATGATTTGAACAATTTAAAATCTACACTACCCTAGGATGCTTCCACAGGAGTTTCAGCTTTTCTGGCCCAGTTGTTCTTGAGAAGAAGATGTTCGAAAATTTTTCTCGTATATTTCAATGTAAAACTTTGATTCTTTATTGTGGCCCCACCCTACCCCCAGGGGTCATGATTTGAACAATTTAGAATCTACAGCTAAAAACCATGAAAAATCAGAATTGAGCATTTTGTATTGAACATTTTTGATATTTAGACAAACTTAGAAAATTTGTAACATCCTTATTACACATGAACAGCTTGCAGGCTGATTGCATGATTATAATTAGAAGTTAACCCATGAACAAAATTGTAAAACTCTTGCCCCTAGATTTCAGGTGGATGTTGATTAAATTTAGGAAGTTTATTACACAATTTGCCTTAAAAAAATTTGTTCATTCTTGGACATTTAGTAAGCAAACTGAGCTGCAAGTGTTTTGTTAAACTGTGAAGTATGTGACACAACTTGTGAGCAGCTAAGAAATTGGCTTTGTGAACTTTGATTAATGAGCAATTGTATATTTTTTATTAGCTAAAAAGTATGCTGAACTGCATGGCCAGCAGGGAGGTGGTGGAAAGAAAGAAAAAAAGGAAAAACAACCTAAACAGGAAAAGCAGGCACCTAAGGTAAGTCTTGGTCTCTTTATTTTTGGATAGATTTATTTTAGTATGAAGCTACAGTAAGCTTTTTTAAATAAGTTCAAGACTAAAGAAACAGAATTTATACAAATTATTTATTTTTAAATGAGCAAATTGGAATTAAGCCCCATGATTCTGTGGCCCGTTTTACACTTACGACTAAGACCAAAATTTAATTCTGCTTTTAACTTTCTAATTTACATTAAATTTAAAATGGTTTTAATTTTTTTAAAAAGGAATGTAGAAAGATATTGTTATGATGGCAGTTTTAAACAGAAACATTAATTCTGCCAAATTTTACAATCAACTAAAGTTTTTGGTCCTAGTCATAAGTTCTTTTCTAAAATGGACCCCTGCAATGCAAACACAGAATATGGCTACAATTGTTGGAGAGTAAAAAGTCTGGCATTCTCATGTGACTTTAGGAATGCTGCTCTGCATCTATGATTTATGGTAAATTAACAAAAAAGACATGGGTTTGTCAAGAATTTATTTTAAGAAACCATGCATGTTAGAAAGATTCCTATCTCTTAGAAATAGGAATATTTTTTCACTAGGATTGAATTGTTGAGCTTAGAACCTAAATTGTCTCTAATGCATTCTGTTAAATAAAAGGTGAATTAACTGTGCTTTATTTTATAATTTTTATAGACACAAATGTTTCTTTATGGGATTATGAACATTTATCATTTTTTTACTGCTCAAACATTAATTTAGGAGCAAAAATTACTTCTTGCATGTTATTTAAGAATTTTGTGAAGATAAATAATGCTTGAAAATGTGACAATTTACCTGTATGTAATTTGGGCATTCTTCTATACATTTATTTAGTATAAATCTTAAGAATGTAATTTAATTGAGAAGAAATTTTGAATAACAGTCACTCTGACAAGTTCAGTAGCTTTTGCTCTCCCATGTCATTAGCATTCCAGACTAAAGTTTAAGGAGCAGACTTGTTTTTTTTTAAATTTATAAGCTCCTACCTATACCAAACTTGCAGGGTTAGCGCATCTGGGGAAACAAACCTCCAGAATTACTTCTGAGCTCACAGTCCTGTGATCTTTCAGAGAACACAGTCTTTTTAGTTTTCCTAAGAACACAGTCCTGTTGGTTTTCCTGATCACTCAGTCCTGTTATTTTTCCAGAAGAAAGAAAAAGAACCTGAACCAGAAGAAGAAGATGAGCCCAAACCAAAGGAATCAAAGGATCCATTTGCCTCATATCCCAAGGGGTAAGTAGTCAATACTTCTTGCAGACAAGTTATTTTTATGTTCAGAATGATAATATTTAAAAGAAGTGTACAATTAAAATTTTTATAGTGCACTTGAATCAGTGGCTTAAGAGTACTTATTAAGTTGACGGTGATTGGTGTGTATGCACATTTTCAAACACTTTATTTGGTACATCAAGGCTAAACCCCTGCAAACAAGTACACATATTTACCTGTACATTTATTTCCTAATTTTTTTTTCAAACTTTGTAAAATAACAAATACAGGAAAACTGGTTTATTCAGAATACTATGAGTCACAAATTTATGTTGGAATTGACAGTGAAATGGATTGCAGCGGTGTCGGATAAGATAGTTTTTACTGTATATGTGCCTTGAAACATGCACCTCATATTTTCAAATTGATTTGTCAAAATGCTAGAAAAGATCTGGCTATTTTAAAGTTTCTTTGTGTTCATTGTGTATAACTTCTGTGACGAAAAAAGTAGACATCTTGTCTGAATATAACTTAAAGCCAAGAAATTTTAGAAGCTTGTTCATGATAGAAAGGTAGCTTGTGATCAGAGATTCTGTGGACCCTCTTACATTGTTTTAGCCATGCTTTGAAATAGAAAAACCTCCATAATTTTTAGTTTGACAAAGAATGCTTTTTTATCCAGGGTTTGTCCTCACACTGAACACCAGAGCAATTTTGACAAGGTCAAATTTAAATATATATAAAAATATATATTTAAATGTTAAATGCATTCAAATTCCTACTAGAATTTGGGCTAGTTCTAGACCTACATTCTATTTGCTCAAATCTAATTTTAGGTAGTGACTAAGTTTTGAACATTGCTTGTGCCAAGTTGAACAAAACTGTTTCGCTAAATATGGTGCATGTATTGACAAGATAACGAAGGATATATAGGGTGAGTTAACCATGCATCGGACACATACCTTGCTTCAGACAACTTTAAGCAATAAACTTTCATTGAATCTGAGTCTCCCCGTGATTTACTTGTTTCTGTCTTAAAGGTGAAGAATCGAACTTTCTAATGATGCCGATTTTTATTTTCATGTTATGATAAAATACCACAAGAATGGCCTTGAAATTACGTCATATTTTGCATCATCAAAGGGGAGTAACCAGAATTTTACAATTTTGCAATTTTTAGTTGTCGCTCTTTAAAATAGACGTCAACGGAACGGGTCGGACGTAGGTAAAATTTGTCTATGATTGATAATTTTACAGAAAATTTTCAAAAAATTTTACTTCAGTGTTTGTATAATATTTTTTAGAGTTGTTTTTTAACTAGTATGTTTATTTCACCGTACATCGGACAGAAATTAACCATGCATCGGACACTTTCCGATGCATGGATAATCACTTCCATTTTCATGTAAAACCCAAATGACAGCTGTTTTTATGCCCCGCCATGAATATGGCCGGGGCATATAGTGTTTGTCATGTCCGTCTTCCGTCCTTCTGTCCTTCCGTCCTTCCGTCACACTTTGCGTTTAGCTCTGTTCAAAGCTCAGTTTCAAAGAAACTATCCAAGATATTTTTATCAAACTTCATATGCTGATAGATATTGATGAGGGCTATGCAACTGCATCAACATTTTTTACCTTGACCTTTCCTTTGACCTTGACCTCACTTTTCTTAAATTAGTGTTTAGCTCAGTTTTAAAGATACCATTCAAGATAGTGTAATGAAACTTCATATGTTGATACCTACTGACGTAAGCTATTCAACTGCATCAACATTTTTTGACCTTGACCTTTCTTTTGACCTTGACCTCACTTTTCTTAAATTAGTGTTTAGCTCAGTTTTAAAGATACCATTCAAGAAAGTGTAATCAAACTTCATATGTTGATACATACTGATGTAAGCTATTCAACTGCATCAACGTTTTTTGACCTTGACCTTACTTTTGACCTTGACCTCACTTTTCTTAAATTGGTGTTTAGCTCAGTTTTAAAGATACCATTCAAGATAATGTAATCAAACTTCATATGTTGATACATACTGATGTATGCTATTCAATTGCATCAACATTTTTTTGACCTTGACCTTTCTTTTGACCTTGACCTTACTTTCCTTAAATTAGTGTTAAGCTCAGTTTTAATGAAACCATTCAAGATATTTTTAACAAACTTCATATCCTGATACATACTGATGTAACCTTTTCAACTGCATCAACATTTTTTGACCTTGACCTTTCCTCTGACCTTGACCTCACTTTTCTTAAATTAGTGTCAAACTTCATATGCTGATACATACCGATGAGAGCTATTCAACTGCATCAATGTTTTTTGACCTTTACCTTTCCTTTGACCTTGACCTCACTTTTCTCAATTTGTGTTAAAATGTTGCATTACTAATATACCCTCGGCGGGGCATTCATGTCCTATGGACATATTTCTAGTTTTTTAACGGAAATAGAAACTCTAAATTTTCAGTGAAAATACAAATTATCGATATATGACGACTAGAAGTGAACTCAATTTATTTCTTTAAACTAGATGATGATAACCCACGAGACAAAGGTGCAAGTTGCCATATTTCTAGCATTGTAAAGCCTTTTTAAGGCGATGTGATGCAACTAGCGTAAAATCTCTTCATATTTGTGGATCGAAATAGTCATTCAAATTTAATTACAAGGTTAATTATTAAATAAAAGATAAAAATGTTTCAATATCACTAATTTTAAAGCACTGAGATCTAGGTATGATATTTTCTGGTTTAATATCGTATGTCCGATGCTTGGTGAATATTGTCCGATCCATGGTGAATTCTGACTTATTTTGAAAAAATTGTTTTTTAATGATATTTTCTCAATAAATAGGGCACAATTGTGTCAAAAATTTATATTTTAACCACATACTACATGATAAGTTCCATTTTGATAATATTCGGTCGGTAGGAATATCGCTAGAACTTGTTGAAGTGCAAGGGTGTCCGATGCACTGATGTATACCCTCTATATATATACATACATACATATATATATATATATATGGATATATATATATATATATATATAGATAGATAGATAGATATAGATATGTTCATAATTTCATGAAATGTTATTTTTTTATTTCCAGAACATTTAATATGGATGAATTCAAAAGGGAGTATTCTAACAAGGATACATTGACAGAGGCATTGCCATACTTCTGGAAGAACTTTGACAAGGAAAACTTTTCTATTTGGTTTAGTGAATATAAGTATAATAATGAGTTGAGCAGAATCTTCATGACAGCAAATCTTGTTGGAGGTAGGTTTACTTGGATGTGACTTCAATCTATACAAGCTTCAAATTACCAAAAGGAAGCTACAGTTTTAAAATTAATTTTGATAAAAAATGCCATGAAAAGTTTCTTATTTGAAATTCATATGGATTTGTTAATGAAGATTTCATTCAAAATCTTGGTGCTTGGCCTGTCTAAGATTTACAGAGATATGTGTAAAATGAGAAGTATCCTGACATTTTCAATCACATTTAAATATTTGGTGATGGAAAAAAGGGACCTCCCATGGATAACTTGGAAAACTAAATAAATGCACATGGAACAAACATGTCTTGTTAATTTTTGCTGAAAACAAAATTCTTTTAGTTTGGGTGGAAGGATACACAAACCTTGCGAAAGGTATCTCAAACATCTCGATACATACAATACAATACGATACATGTATCTTGATATTGTAATAGCTAAAAAATAATAATAAAATTAATTTTGTGTTTTGTCTTCTTGACTATAAATCAACAATATATTTTATATCAAATCAAATGTGCTTTGAAATTAATACTTGCAGTTCATCAATTTCAACTTAAAATATAAATACATGTACCAGGGTTGTTAGAAAAGTTCGCAGACATGTTGATTTATGGAAAATATATTGTAAACTTTGAAGAATGACATAAGTCTAATTAAATTCTTATCTTTTGTTTATAAGTATGTAAAAGATCAGGTCCATTTATTAAAATGTTGAAATATACGTTGATTTTTACTGTGCGGTCATAGGATTCACAGCGCAATCACTTGACATTTTATGACGTTAGGTGATGCGACAACATGATTCCAGACCTGTGAAGCTTTTTCACAGTTCTAAATATCTTTCATTTCTTTTCATGTCTTTTTCTGACTTAACGTTTGAATAAGTATATCGAGACATGTTATATATTTTTAGCTCACCTGAGCTGAAAGCTCAAGTGAGCTTTTCTGATCACCTGTTGTCCGTCGTCCGTCCGTCTGTCCGTCCATCCGTCCGTCTGTAAACTTTTCACATTTTCAACTTCTTCTCAAGAACCACTGGGCCAATTTTAACCAAACTTGGTACAAAGTACCCTTGGTTGAAGGGGAGTTTAAATTGTTAAAATAAAGGGCCAAGTCCCCTTACAAGGGGAGATAATCAAGAAAAGACAAAATAGGGTGGGGTCATTAAAAAATCTTCTTCTCAAGAACCACTGGGCCAGAAAAGTTGAAACTTATGTGGAAGCATCTTGGGATAGTGTAGATTCTAAATTGTTAAAATCATGACCCCTGGGGGTAGGGCAGGGCAACAATAGGGAATCCAAGTTTTACATTGAAATATATAGGAAAAATCTTCTTCTCAAGAACCACTGGGCCAGAAAAGCTGAAACTTATGTGGAAGCATCGTGGGGTAGTATAGATTCTAAATTGTTCAAATCATGGCCCCCGGGGGTAGGGCAGGGCCACAATAGGTATTACAAGGGGGGAAGTCTGGTAATGAACAGCATGGCCAAAGTTACTCAGGTGAGCGATGTGGCCTATGGGCCTCTTGTTTAATGTCTTTTGTGGCGTATCGGATATTAGTGAGATCTTTTAAACAGTGTCTACGCAGTTCAGTGATCAGATATGAGAAACAATGCAAAATCCATAGGTGCAGCGTCCATGCGATGAGCAGGATATTGGGGCATCACAGGAGTTGATAATCGAAAATGTCCATCCTTCCATTCTTACTAAGTTGTTACCACTTGAACACTTTGGTACTAGATATGTGTAAGCCATCCCCAGCAGCATCTAAAAACATTTTAGTCTCTTTCGGGCATTTTCCTGTCTGCACACATAATTTTTTAATAGCTCAGTGCTCCAAGACGTTCAATGACGTTACCATTTTTTGGCTTTGTATTTACGCACTGATCATCTATAATTAGTGATAAAACAATCATATCTTCCAATTTAATTCAAAATTTCGCCAAATGATGTTTCATGAATATCTAAGCGAGAGGTTAAATATCATAAATCTTTATGCGCTACAACAGTGCAATTTTTAATTTCAAAATTATGTCACTGAAATGTAAAAGTGTGAAAAAGTAACATGCTCCGTGAAGCATGTCTTATCTAAATAATTTCGCTGTATATTTTTTAAAGATCATTGGAAAACACCAAATTTTTGCATATTAATAGGAAAATGCGTATAGTTTTTACCTGCAGAGTTTTACTGATTTCATGCAAATAGCGCACTCACAATAAAACTTGTCTGCGAACTTTTCTAACAACCCTCGTACATATGCCAAATTAATGTTTATAAACTTGTTGATTTATAAATAATTGATTTATTAATTTATTGGTTCAAATTATAAAATTCTTTTAATGAAAATTAGAGAATCCATGCTGTCTTTGCTCAGAGTTGCCCTCAGGATATTCTCTTAAGAGAAGTGGAATGGTAAAAGTCCCATTCTCTTGAGAGAATAACTAGAAGACACTAGCAAATAACAATATCTCCAGCTGTGGAAAGGATACCGGTACTTAAAATTCTGCATTTAACAATGCTTAACAGACTGCTTGACTTTTTCTCGTTCCGTTTTCTGAGGTTGCTATGAAGCTAAAATATTTCTATATCTATGACTTATAAGTTCAAGTTACATGTATGTCTTCATATGTAAGCATTGCTCTCTTCATAGGAATGTTTCAACGATTGGAAAAACTAAGGAAAAATGCATTTGCAAGTGTGTGTGTGTTTGGTGAAGATAACAACAATTCTATATCTGGAATATGGGTTTGGAGAGGACATGACCTTGCCTTTGAGGTAATAGAAACAACTAAAAATAGATTGTTTTCAATTACCAACAAACCCTAATGGTTATCTAAGATACTAAGGTTTTCCATGTTAAGTTGACTTTGTATATATGTGCAGAACAGTGGAAAAAAAGTATGTTTACAGTAATATTGAAAAAAAAATACACTGTGCCTTTAAAATAAAAATCAGGCCCAAGTGTAAGGTTAAGCTCATAGTAAATGAAATCTTTCATTATTGACTGTTAAATGGCTTATTTTCCTGGGTCAGATATTTTCAGTTTTGAGGGGAAAATATTGGTTTGTTGGGATTTTTATTTTCATGATTAGTAAACGCACTTTGTACAAAAGTTTGAAATTTTGTCATTTTGTGGAGGACATGAAGTCCTGAGTCTCTTCGTACCATGAAAACAATAAGAAACCCACATGAAAATTAGTAATTTCACAGTATTTTACGGTATAAATAGAGTGAATTTTAAAAACAAAATCATGCATACATTTAGAATTGTAAAATTCATGTCTGCTTGGATCTTTTTTAGGCTCCAAGGAGAGGTTAAGATGATATATCTTGAAAATTAGTTAGGTCTTTGTAAATTTTCTTTATTCATCTCTGAGTTTTGGCTCCAGGATGTGGTAAAGTTAGTCACATTTAGAAAATCATTACACACTTGGATTATTATCATTTATTTATTTTTATTTATTTATTTATTTTTATTTATTTATTTTTTTTTTTTTTTGGAGACTTCTTCAATTTAAAAATTGAGTATCATCTACATACATACATGCATACTTGTGACAAATTTTATGAAATGGGTATTTAAAACATTTTAATGCTGTGTTTCTGCAAAAGGAAAGTTGTCACATATACATGTAGGGTTAAAATTGTATAGGACTGAAAGACTGACAGAAATTTTTTTTTTGACCTTATGTCTTTTTTGATTTCTTCATGACTGATCCCATTTGCAAACTTAAGTATGAAATAGCTAAGTTGCATGATCTCTAATTCATGATTTTGTTCCAATTTCTCTGCAGCTTTCACCAGACTGGCAAATAGACTATGAAAGTTACAACTGGACTAAGTTAAATCCTGATGATGAGAAAACAAAGAAGCTTGTGAAGGAGTATTTTGCCTGGGAGGGTGATTTTGATGGGAAAAAATTTAACCAAGGCAAAATTTTCAAGTAGACATTGAACTGGAAAATGCTGACACTGAACTGGAAAATGTTGTTGACTATTTAAAAATGAACGTCTGGTGCAACAAAAGTTTTCTTGTTTTTTATTTGTTAACCCAAGTCTCTTGGGTGGTTGACCTGTTACTATCTGCTTTTCATTCTTAAATTTTCACTTGCTCAGTTTCTTCTCCTACCCCCTGGAGCCATGATTTGAAGGAACTTAAATCTGCTCTGTCTGAGGATGCCCAGTGTTTCTTGAGTAGATTTTTAAATGACCCCAGATTTTCAATATTATTTATCTCCTCTTGGAAAAGAGTGTTGCTTTTCATTCGAAAAAAATCTTAAATCCCTCTTCAACAAGGATGCTTTGTGGGAAATTTTACTGAAATTGGCCCAATGGTTCTGAAGAAGTTGAAAATGTGAAAGTTTACAGACGGAAGGATGCTGTATACCTGTAGATCAGAAAAGCTCATCAGTTACACTAAAAGATAAGCATGCTTTAAAAAATTAAGTTCTTTGTTTTGTTGGTTGTGACCTTGCAGATTTTTTTTACTATGATTCAGTCCCATATAAACAAAGAAAGAAAGACACTTTTACTGTATATATTGTCTAAAAACTATTCATAGAAAGAGGGAAAAAGTAATAAAATACTGAATCATGACCCATACATTATAATGATAGAAAAGCCATGAATCCAACTTTGACACTTCGTAAGAAATTTCTCATACAGGTGGTTTTTTGATAAAAGTAAAAAAAAAACTAGAGCTTAGATATTGAGCATGAAATATGCGGAGATAATGAACAGTATTCGAGCTCAAAAGTCCATTAAACATTACAAAATAGGAGTAGAGCAAACACAGACCTCTAAACACAGGTGCCATGGAGGAGTGAGCATCCCCTGCCGACCGGTCACACCCGCCGTGTGCTCCTTGTCATGATTGGGAAAAATCCGCCAACAATTCAGTGTGTAAATAGTGGTCTAACAATTAGTATGAAAAACGCCAGTCAGCATTTGAACTCAATGGTAGATTGTATTTGCTGACAAGGTAATTGTATCGACCATAGAACTTACAAAATAAGGACTTTAAACAAGACTGCTGATATTCTTGCTTCATCAACTTGTTTGTCAATATATTACCTCGTTATAGAAATTGTTCATACGTAGAGCATGCTCTAGCATATCGAATTAACTGAGAGATATAAACCCCGTATGCAGGTGATGAAGGTATATTGCTGCATATGTAAGGGAAGTTGACGATTGAAAAGTTGAAAATCATCACATTTATCATAAAGCTTGGTTGTTAGATTACCATCAACGTCCTTTTCTAGTAAAATATCCAAATATAAAACAGATGTGTCAGACTCTGTGGTATCTTTTGTTTCAAGCTCACCGGGATATATCGACATAAGAATGGAAATAACCATTGTTAATTGACAATACGTCGTCGATATATCTAATTGTCGAGTTGAAGGCCACAGCGTTTTCTTCTTTTCGCGTATAAGATTTTGAACAAATTCTGCTTCATATGAATACAAAAATATGTCTGCTAATAACGGGGCGCAATTGGTACCCATATGAATTCAAATAGATTGTTGGAAGACCTGGTCTCCAAAAACCACATAGACATGTCAATCAGAAACTCAAGCATCTTTTTAATATCAACTTCAGAGTACTTGTGTGTACATTCAGAATGTTTTTTAACAAAATATTTTGCAAATGACCAATGACAAGCTGAGTGAATTTACGAGTTCCGTTCTTATTGAAAAAGCAGCTGTCAATGATATCAAGAAGCCCCGACTTTGGGAGAATTGTTGTATATAAAGTTGAAAAGTCAAAAGTTTTTATGTTGTTGATTTTGGTAAAATTTTGTGATTTCAAATGTTCCAAAAGTTCCTCGGAATTTTTTAGTATCCACATCTGATTTACACCACTTCTCGAATATATTGTTACACAGTACTCTTGAAGTTTCTCCTTCACTCCTGTTAATATCTTAGTGAGGAGTAAAGAAAGAGGCTTGGTAGAACATTTGCTGGAACCCGCTATGTTTGTAAGGATTTTTATGAAGTTTCGGAATCCATATAACTTGCAACAACACAGTCTTTGAAACTTTAAGGCTCATTATTACTGCAGTCAAGAATGTTCTAAATTATGATTATTAAAAAAATTAAAAGGCTTTAATGCCACATCTGTTAGCTATGTTTTTACTTGCATTTCCCTTTCAAAGGATCACCTGCATATGGAGTTCATGTCTTCAAGTTCATTAGATACGCAAAAGCATGCTCTATGCACGAACAATTTCTAAAACGAGACAAGCTATTGACAAACAAGTTGATGAGACAAGGATATCAATAGCCTCGTTTGAAGTCACATTTTGCAAGTTTTATGGTCGATACAATGACCTCAGGAAACAGTCTTCATTAAGTCGAATGCTGACTGACGTTTTTCATTTACACACTGAATTGTCTACGGATTTTTCCCGTTTGCTCGATCATGACAAGGAGCACACTGCGGGTGTGGCCGGTCGACAGGGGATGGTTACTCCTCCATAGCATTCTACCAAAACCATAGCTTAACTCTTCACAAAATATTAATTGCTGTGAAGGAGAAAGTTAAGACCTAATTTTACTACAACGTGTTTAAGTGGTTTAAGTCAGGTGTGAATATTCTCAAACATTCCAAAGAATTTTTAGATTAGTTAAAAGCTCCATAAAATTTTGTTAATCGAAATCAAAATATATGACTTTTTAAGTTTTTAACACTTGAAAAAAGTTTTATCCAAAAATAAAACTGAAATTTTCATATCATGTGATTGGTCATCAACAAATTTGAATGGTTAAAATCATTCTGATACTTCTTACATCGACACATCTCACCTCTGGTGTTTCCAGGGTCCGTGTTTTTTACCTTGTTCAGAATTTGTATTGTTTTAAGGATTCATGAGATCGATCATTGTCCATTATCTTCACCTTTTTCACAAATCCCCTGAAGTTGATATTAAAAGATGCTGGAGTTCGTAGTTGACCATATCTATGAGGTCCTTGAAGAGCGGGTTTTCCAACTATATCTATTCTGTCGGATGGGCAGTTAAAAACGTAGACCCATTTAAAGAATTACAACTCCTTTTGCACGCAAAAAAAATGATTTCTCTGGTTTCCGAAAGAGTAGGCTCACATTTTACCGACGTAATAAGGTTGGAATACTGCCTTTCAAACGAACCGGATGCATATGACTTCAGGTTAGCAAATCTTGTCCCTATGGGAAAAAAAAGCTATGTTACAAATTTTCCCTAGGAATGAATGCTCGATCATATTGACGTTTGCCAATTCCACAATTAAATAAATCTTTTTGTTTCTAATCAGTCATTTTGTTGAAAATATGACATTTGCTTACAGCCATTTTTCTAAAATTCTTTGGAGTTATTTTAGCATCCACATTTAATAACACCATTCCTTAAATATGCTGTTGCACAGTACTACTGAAGTTTCTCCTAAATTCACTGCTGTTAAAAGTTTTCGTGACGGCTAAAGAAAGGGGCTTGGTGGAGCATTTACTAAATCTCGCTATAAATCTTTGGAAGGATTTTCATTAATTTTTGGAATCCAGTATATGTATTGTCATTTACTACATTTTTATTTGAAAAATTAAATTTAGTCGTGTACTTTTATTTTTCAAAAAAAAAAATAAAAATAAAAAAAATAAAAAAAATAAAAATAAAAAATCAGTAAACGACAAAATGGTAATTTAAATTCAATCTGGTTTATCATCGAAACCTTCATATTAGTTGGGTATCGAGGAATAAGCATAAAACTTGTGACTATTGCACAAGGTTTTGAGTTTTTTATTTAGTTTTCCTCAGGTCCAACATAGCCGATATATTAAAACACATAACAGGTAAAATAGGGAAGTCGGGTGTTGGAGGCAGAACATAAAACCATTCCATCTTCTTACAAAAGGGAACAAGGTCTAAATTGTTTCATCAAAATTCATCATTTTAAAGAAAATTTACATTGTACTAGCTACTATTCACAAAATAAACTTATGGACAACTGGATTTTTAAAAATCAAATTTAAAATGCGACAGCATTTAGTTAAATTTACATCTTACAGATAGCTCACAAAGTTCTACAAAATAAACACAAAAGTATAAGTATGACATATTTTTGCTGTTGCATTTTACACACTTAGAAATCCATCATTCTTTTCACTATCTTTAAAATTAAACCCAGAATCACTATGCTGATCCCCACTACGATCACACCGCAGCTGATTTCTGTATCGACGTTCGAATGCTCTCCTCAGTGTTCTACCAGTTGTCAATCCACGTCGATTGAACACTGCGCTGTTTTTTCGGCGAAGGGACATTCTCTTCTGACGAGCGTCGTGAAAGTTAGATCCGAGATTCTCACAAGCAGTGGACATGGAGGAACAAGAGCTTGTGTATAAAGTTGATATTGCTTCGTCGTCGTCATCTATATCGTCCTCCTCATAGTCTGGCAGAGGGTCATCATAATCAGGCTCAGGTTCGTTTTCGATATTACTTACTCTCTGCAGTTCCATGGCTTTAGCAATGACTTCCTGTATTTTGTACTTTTCGGTAAACTTCTGACTGCATCATATATCAGTGATGGAGAGAACATGAAGAATTGTTCCCCAACGATGTGAAAGCATTCCGAGGAATTGAAAAAGCAATATTGCAGAAAATAATGCTAAAAAGATCATACCGAGGGGTTCAAATGTCAGATCTTTTTGTGAAGAATCGAAATGAGGAATTTTGATGAAAAGATCTGTATCTTTAAAGTCCTCTTGTAAAAGTTGGAGCTGCATGGTAAGAGCTATCCACAGAGCAGAAATCATAAAGAATCCAAAAACAACATTGCTGCGCAGGTTTTTTAAAGCATTTACTACCCTTTCCTGGTGAAACTTGTCTTCCTTTATTGGATATACATGTAAATACTTTTGCAACAATTGCTTCCAAAACAAGATCTCCCTTTCATCAAGTTTCTTAATTGGACCATCCCCTAAGATATCGTTTTGTAGACTTTCTTGATGATCTGTTTTTGTGTAATTCTTCGGTTCAGTTTTCCCCTTAT